GTTGCTAAATTAACCTACAGTTGCTCTATACAAACAATATATCTAATATTACAATATAATCTAAGGATTGTACTGTTGTTGTTGTCAAAGAAATGTGTGTAATGTAGGGGCTTGAGGATTATCAAAGCTTGGTAAAGCAATGGTCTGTTTTCCTCTTAATGTACTGTAGTGTATACTCGTACAGTATGTAGCTAATATAGTATACTGTATGTAGCTAATATTGTATATGTAACTATTAGAGTGATGAAGAGAATGGGAGAGAGGTAGAGAACAGTGAAAGAAGGACAAGCACTGGGAAGACGAAAAAATAGCCCCAATTAAACTCGCAGGCAGCAGTGTTATGTGTGGCGGTTGTTGGTTCCTTACTTGATGGGGTTCACAGAGTACGAGTCTTGTGTGTTGCCATCTGGCTCACAGCGCTATATCAATCCTTTGAAATTCCCTGAGGAATTTGTTTGAAATTGGAGTCACATTAATATCGGCAATACAGTATATTATTATTAATATTATTATAATTATATTATTATTATTATTATTATTATTATTATTATTATTATTATTAATTATTATTATTATTGTCATTAGCAGTGATAGTAATGGTAATGAACTCATTCAAACACAATGTAATAATAATAATAATAATTCACTACTTTACTCACAACACAAGAATACCTCACACCATCACAACATAGAGGGATGAGGAGGTCGAGCAGAAAATTAATATTTTCGCCTCCTAGGCCCCGTTGTGGGTCGATGACCTGTGTCCGGGTGGGCTATCCCCGTAAAAAGAATGGTGCAAAACAGTGTAGAAAGTGATATGTTAATACAACAAGTATATGAAAAAATTATCTAAACAACATACTTATTGTTTCTTAACACGTCATAAAATTCACTGAAATTTTACACCAACAAGAACTCCACACAAAAACAGAACATTTACTAATCCCGAAAGACAAGAAAAACACAAAAGTTTCATTCAAAATATGAAAACCACCACTAAGAACTTGAAAACTATCATATAGCCTAATAACAAACACACACACACACACACACACACACACGAGCTACAGATAACACAAAAAACAGTACATTGAAAACAAAATCACAAAAAGCACACAAATAGAGATACACACAGGAGGTGTAGGCAGCAGCAGCGTCAACAATCATGTGCATTACTATTAAGTTTCAATAATCGTAGTTCTGTAGAGAAACAATAAAACATTACATTGGTTGTGGGAGAAAGAGGCAAACCTTGTCTCTTATACTTGAAGACCTTAGTTGTTGAAACACTTTCAGTCATTATAACAGCTTGGCAATTCCTCAATATGACGAACGCCCTTCACTCTCCTTTCAGTTGGTTCGTGTACAGTATAAGAGTTAGCACTTGTAGTGAAGCGTGTGATTATGTTTATACATCGATGTCTAGATATAAGTCGTACACGTTTGTTGTATGCTTGTCCAAATATTGTTGTTTCTATTCTTCACATTTTTCCATCTCTCTCTCTCTCTCTTTTGACAAATTACTTCAGAATCTGAGCCTGCTTCAATTATCCAAAATAGCCCCTAACATATAAATATATAACACACACATGCACTGGCAGCAACCGGCATACATACCCCCACCACCGTTCGCCACCAAAACCTAATTACACTCCTCAGTGTTGCAATACAGTACATCTGCGGCCACACTTGACAGCGTTACTCCAAAAATATTTATCATTAAGAAGCTGTAAGGTAAACACGGTCTCTTGTGCCTCGCGTCAAACTGTTCATGTTCAGTTTCTAGATTCTATTTTTGCCAGCATTACATCAGCTTCATGTTCGTCTTGACTTGTATGATGTGACGGACATTACGCCAGTGACCAGCATTGCAGTGTTTGTGTCTCTTGCTTTCTTTTTCTATTTTCTTCTCTGCTCCCTATTTATTTCCCTTCATTTCTCGGGTTTTCTCCTTCTCTCTCCTTTCTTTGCTCTCTCTCTCTGTCTCTCTCACTTTACAGGCTTTATCTCGTGTAAGTATACGAGTATCTAATATACTATAGGACTAGGCGTGTGTCTGTCTGTCTGTCTGTTCTGGGCAGCCGAAACGGCACAATCGTTTTTCATCAAACTTGGTGGAAAAATCGCAAAAAATTCGTAGAGTGGAACAAACCTGGTCCCATGTCGATGGTTTCTTTAGGAAGGCATTAATTAACCATTTTATTTACGCTGGAAAACGATACAAGTCTACGGAATTTGTACACCCTCATTCGCTGTACGCTAGCCAAGCAGGAGCGTTCAAACTTTCACTGGGCACGAAGGGCCCGCGATCACATGTATTACGCTAAATAAAGACCATTGCCGCTTAAGCATTAAAAAACAACTGAGGTGTTTGCCAATTTGGGATAACTTTTTTTTATTGATAGAATTTAATGACAATGAATTCGCTAATATAAAAAATGCTCGGTTTAATCTATTAGGTCGTTTAACATAAGATAGCCAAATTGTACCTAGAGTAGGTTAGGTTAGCCTAGTTTAGGCCAGGCTAGGTTAAGTTAGGTTAGGTTAGTTGAGGACAGGTTATGTTAGGCTAGGTCAGGTTAGGTAAAGTTAGGGTAGATTATGTTAGATTACGTCAGGTTAGGTTATAAGTTAGTTTAGAATTGGTTAGGTTAGGTCAGGTTAGGTTCGTGTACAATAGTACCTAAAATTTTATTACTTCGTGATATATGTTAAGTGATGTGAGAGACGGTCAGTTGAGGAGGGAGACAACAGAGGTGTAGGGGCCAGATGTTGGCTGTATAGTATAGTGGGTTAACACGTGTACCGTGGATCTCTCTCTCCCTTACCAGCATCTCCTTGTTTGTCTCATCTTGCCTGTTTCTCACTAGTATGTCTCTCTCTCTCTCTCTCTCTCTCAGGTGGTGTTAAAAACTAAAATACAGCAACTAAATCATTCCTTGAGGTTTAATTAAGCTAGCAGCACAGAGAGCGTATGGCGTTCCATTATACAGTACAGCCTATATCGATCAGTTCACCCGAGTCTTCCGTCAGTCGTGGTTGCTCTATGACACAAACGGGTAAAGGTAGCGAGTAAACTGTTGGCAAGAGGTCAGGCTGGTGTTGAGTGAGGGCGCCAGGCTGGTGTTGAGTGATGGCGCCAGGCTGGTGTTGAGTGATGGCGCCAGGCTGGTGTTGAGTGATGGCGCCAGGCTGGTGTTGAGTGATGGTGTCAGTTAGGTAAGTTAAGTTAGGTTAGGTTAGATTTTCTATGAAACTTTATTTTTATGTATTTTGTGTACAGGATCGTCTATGACCAGTCAAAAGTTAAAAAAAAAGTATTCACAGTAGTTCAAGTACATCTAGTAGGTCTCTCTCTCTCTGTTATTGTCTCTACCTTCATAACGCCTGAAAACATAAACAATGAAATTCAGGAAGCCACAATAATCCTTAGGGAATAATTATATCTTGTATTTCCGGCTGATTGTGTTGCATCACCGAACTGGCCTCCCGGAGTGTTTACCACCACAAAAACAGGAAGGGATCAGTTTATGTATGTCGTCACTAATCACGTAGAAGATACCCAGTCAGACGTTTGTATATTTTGCAACTAACTACGAAGGAAGTAGTGTCTACATAATTTGCCATTAAAGACACAGAAAGCAGTCTGTATTTTTGGCCACTAACCAGGAAGACCGTAGTACTTAACTATGCATATTTTGGCAGTAACCGCGAGGGAAGTAATGCTATAGATTATAAATTTCATAACTTATGAAGATGAATATTTTGCCACTCGTATATAAAGAACCAGGTGTCCAAGTTCATAGGTTCTGCCACTCGCCGAGATATAGTTAGCGGGTATTAGTGTTCATTCCTGGCGGCTTCCCTGATACCAGCTGCCACTTAACTGCTTCTGTTTAGTCACTGAAAATTATTGCATTGTCTTCATATCCAAACACGATTGTGAAGTGTGTGTGTGTGTGTATTCACAAACACATGGCAGAGTCAAATATAATGATACAAGTAATAATTTCATGTCCACGTGCACATAACAAGACATACACACACACACACACTCAATGAAACAAACAAACAAACAAACACATTCTCAGTTGTGTCATATAGCTCAGTATTTTGCCAGTGTTAAATTTCGTGGGGACGCGACCTGCCCCGACGGTGGTGTGAGGCAGTCATTGGCCGGCGGTGTGTGTTATGCTACACTATCATGCCTCAGTTCTTTCAACTTTTCACGTATCCGTAGAAAACGCGCCATTGTTTCATACATAAATAGATAGATAGATAGATATTAAAGTATATTCACGCTACAACACAACAGACGCCATAACACGACTCATTAACAATAATTTTCTCACGGACGACACAACAAGAACATTCTGTTTGCGTTAACATTATAAGACGTTCATCTCAACTCTTATCAGTATTGTCTACGTTAATAGCTTTGTTAAGTCATCATATTGTCCACCGCATTACCCATACACATCATAATATTTCCACTAGTACAAACCATTACAAGTCAATATATTTCCTTTAGTACCTTTGATTAGTCATTATATTCAAAGAAACATCATTGCAAGGTACCATATTCGCACAAGGCAACACTGTAACACTTTACATTCACTTGAGCAACATTGTAAGTCATTATATACTAATATTTGTATTACTCATATTTTTATACTGTGTTGACGTGTGTTGCCATTTACTGTACCTGTGTTGCCATTTACTGTACCTGTTGCCATCTACTGTACCTGTGTTGCCATCTACTGTACCTGTGTTGCCATCTACTGTACCTGTGTTGCCATCTACTGTACCTGTGTTGCCATCTACTGTACCTGTGTTGCCATCTACTGTACCTGTGTTGCCATCTACTGTACCTGTGTTGCCATCTACTGTACCTGTGTTACCATCTACTGTACCTGTGTTACCATCTACTGTACCTGTGTTGCCATCTATCATGTTTATATGACAAGGAATATGTTAGTCACATACACTATGAGTGATACTAATACATTATACTGTATATACTGTACAGTATGTTGGTTCATACTGCGTGATACTAATACATTATACTATATATGTTGGTTCATACACTACAAGGAGTGATACTAATACATTATACTGTATATACTGTACAGTATGTTGGTTCATACACTACAAGGAGTGATACTAATACATTATACTGTATATACTGTACAGTATGTTGGTTCATACACTACAAGGAGTGATACTAATACATTATACTGTATATACTGTACAGTATGTTGGTTCATACACTACAAGGAGTGATACTAATACATTATACTGTATATACTGTACAGTATGTTGGTTCATACAAGGTACCTAAACACTTGTCTCCTCATATCTATCTATCTGGCTGTTTGTCTGTCATGCATGTAGGAGAAAGTTAGAGCATGTTTTGTCATAATATATTTTTTCCAACAAGTTCTCATAATATATATAAAACAAAATCATGCATTCTAATATTAAACAAGTGGTGAGTGGTGAAGACTGCCAGAGGTCAGTGGTGACGTCATCACCTGCCAGGTATAAAAGTCAGGACTAGGTCGTCAACCTCCGTCAGTCTTGGCTGGACCGTCTAAGACACTGGTCTCCTCACTCCCTACCACTGGTAGGTCTCTTTCGTCCTCCTGAACATCGATTCTTAGTTATGACATTGAAGAACTTTTCCTTGGTGTAACATTTGTGAAGAATTTGTTGTTTATTTTAATTGGAGTTATTTACTTGTGTGTTAGTTGGGTGAGCAGTAGAACGAGGCAGAGTCTTGATTAACAGAATATTATATAAATTATGTCCAGTTAAATATAATTACAACTAACTGGAACACGAAAATTTATAACAGTGACCACAACATTCTTAATAACACACTGAACATATACTTTAAACTACATATTGCTAGTGTGTATATAAATATTTAAGTGTTTATAATATATACGTTAGATGTATGAGTGTTTATAATATACACGTTAGATGTTTGAGTGTTTATAATATATACGTTAGATGTTTGAGTGTTTATAATATATACAGTAAATGTTTGAGTGTTTATAATATATACAGTAAATGTTTGAGTGTTTATAATATATACAGTAAATGTTTGAGTGTTTATAATATATACGTTAGATGTTTGAGTGTTTATAACAGTAAATGTTTGAGTGTTTAATATATGCAATGTAAATGTTTGAGTGTTTATAATATACGTTAGATGTTTGAGTGTTTACATAATATATACAGTATTAAATGTTTGAGTGTTTATAATATATACAGTAAATGTTTGAGTGTTTATAATATATACAGTAAATGTTTAGTGTTTATAATATATACAGTAAATGTTTGAGAGTGTTTATAATATATACGTTAGATGTTTGATGTTTATAATATATACAGTAAATGTTTAGTGTTTTATAATATACGTTAGATGTTTGAGTGTTTATAATATATACGGTAAATGTTGATGTTTATAATATATACGTTGAAATGTTTAGTGTTTATAATATATACAGTAAATGTTTAGTGTTTATAATATATACGTTAGATGTTTGAGTGTTTATAATATATACAGTAAATGTTTGAGTGTTTATAATATATACGTTAGATAGCCATAGTGTTTATAATATATACAGTAAATGTTTGAGTGTTTATAATATATACGTTAGATGTTTGAGTGTTTATAATATATACAGTAAATGTTTGAGTGTTTATAATATACACGTTAGATGTTTGAGTGTTTATAATATATACAGTAAATGTTTGAGTGTTTATAATATATACGTTAGATGTTTGAGTGTTTATAATATATACAGTAAATGTTTGAGTGTTTATAATATATACGTTAGATGTTTGAGTGTTTATAATATATACAGTAAATGTTTGAGTGTTTATAATATATACGTTAGATGTTTGAGTGTTTATAATATATACAGTAAATGTTTGAGTGTTTATAATATATACGTTAGATGTTTGAGTGTTTATAATATATACAGTAAATGTTTGAGTGTTTATAATATACACGTTAGATGTTTGAGTGTTTATAATATATATACAGTAAATGTTTGAGGTGTTTATAATATATACGTTAGATATTTGAGTGTTTATAATATATACGGTAATGTTTGAGTGTTTATAATATATACGTTAGATGTTTGAGTGTTTGCATAATATATACAGTAAATGTTTAGTCATTTATAATATATACGTTAGATGTTTAGTGTTTATAATATATACAGTAAATGTTTGAGTGTTTATAATATATACGTTAGATGTTTAGTGTTTATAATATATACAGTAAATGTTTGAGTGTTTATAATATATACGTTAGATGTATGAGTGTTTATAATATATACAGTAAATGTTTAGTGTTTATAATATATAGATTGATGTTTGAGTGTTTATAATATATACAGTAAATGTTTGAGTGTTTATAATATATACGTTAGATGTTTGAGTGTTTATAATATATACAGTAAATGTTTGAGTGTTTATAATATATACGTTAGATGTATGAGTGTTTATAATATATACAGTAAATGTTTGAGTGTTTATAATATATACGTTAGATGTATGAGTGTTTATAATATATACAGTAAATGTTTGAGTGTTTATAATATATACAGTAAATGTTTGAGTGTTTATAATATATACAGTAAATGTTTGAGTGTTTATAATATATACAGTAAATGTTTGAGTGTTTATAATATATACAGTAAATGTTTGAGTGTTTATAATATATACAGTAAATGTTTGAGTGTTTATAATATATACAGTAAATGTTTGAGTGTTTATAATATATACAGTAAATGTTTGAGTGTTTATAATATACACGTTAGATGTTTGAGTGTTTATAATATATACAGTAAATGTTTGAGTGTTTATAATATATACAGTAAATGTTTGAGTGTTTATAATATATACAGTAAATGTTTGAGTGTTTATAATATATACAGTAAATGTTTGAGTGTTTATAATATATACAGTAAATGTTTGAGTGTTTATAATATACACGTTAGATGTTTGAGTGTTTATAATATATACAGTAAATGTTTGAGTGTTTATAATATATACAGTAAATGTTTGAGTGTTTATAATATATACAGTAAATGTTTGAGTGTTTATAATATATACGTTAGATGTTTGAGTGTTTATAATATATACAGTAAATGTTTGAGTGTTTATAATATACACGTTAGATGTTTGAGTGTTTATAATATATACAGTGATATTTGATGTTTATAATATACCATTAGATGTTTTGAGTGTTTATAATATATACAGTAAATGTTTGAGTTTTATAATAATACACATTAGATGTTTGAGTGTTTATAATATATACAGTAAATGTTTGAGTGTTTATAATATATACAGTAAATGTTTGAGTGTTTATAATATATATAGTAGATGTATGAGTGTTTATAATATATACGTTAAATGTATGAGTGCCGGAAGGCTGAAATTATACAGATACATAATTGGGGAATGGGTCTCTTGATTTACAAATAATATACAAGTAACATAAGTGATACAAGTATGATATATAATAACTAGGTGGGGAGAAGCTCAAACTACAGGGCATTTCAACATAATGACAATAAAAAAAGTAAGATTGACTGGGAGTAAATACACTGGTTTAAGTTATTGATAATTTTTACAATGGTTGGGACTGGGCTGTTTTTATAGCGATCAGTTCGTGCTCGTATGGGCTGGATGCGGTTGTGGTGCCGAACAGCAATTCTCAGGCGAGGGATCTCAGGTAGTAGTAGGAGCCGGTGTCGAGGATGGTGCAGAAGCTTCTCACCAAATTTGCTGATGAGGTCGTGGTGATGGTCAGAGAGAGACGTGAGGGTCAGTGTGTTGAGCGCTTCTTGAAATGTGGAGTAGGAAGGGGAGAGAATAATCTTGCATGCCCTCTTATGCACTTTTTCTAGGTGTTTACGTTGTGTGGCATTTAGGTAGGAACACCAGGTGAGCTTGGGAAGTATGAATGTGTGTGTGTTTGTGTATATGTGTTTGTGTTTGGTGACTTTCTCTTGTTTTTATATATTATAGTTATTTTTTCACACAATTTGTTCTTTATTTTTGTAATGTGTGTTTTTTATTATTTATATTACAAAGAGATTTATTGTTGACAGGTCGGCAGGATGAGCGAGCTGTGGGGAATATTAGGTAAGTTTTTGTTCTTATTTCTTTGAACATTTCTAACTTATTTTTGTAAACAAATAGACTTTTTCATGCAAAGTATTTAGTTTGGATGTAATTCTTCTGTCGTCCTGCCCGTGTAGTGTTGGTATACAGTATAATTATACAGGTGTAATTATCGCCTGTTAAATTGTTATAGTGAGTGGTGAGCGTAATGTTGTACCTCGGTAGATTGTTCTAGTTGTTATCACAGCAGCAGCAGCACGTCATGGGGGATAAACTGTGTGCGTTTTGTCATCCTCTCATACAGATTTTACAGTATTTTTTTGTATTAAACCAGATTTACTTTACACCTTTCGTGTCCACAACCCAAGTGGTTGAGGAGTATTGGAGTTGTTTGTTATCTTTGCGGCCTCGCTGTCTGCAGGAGAATAACTAACTATACATCATTATCGCTGGCAGTGACCTGGATTGTGTTGTTGTTGTGGTTAGTGTATTAAAGCTTCTCACTGTTGATGGTTGTGTTGTAGAAAGAAAAGGTTTTCTCACTTGACGTATCTCACCTTTACTTTATTAAGATTTACATTAACCTTCCGACCTTCAGGAGTGTTACTGCTAGTCTCAGCACCAGCACGAGGTGACCTTCACGCGCACCACCACGTTCCTACTGGGTCTCCTACAGGAAGTCCTTCAACTCCACAACCTAGTCATGGATCGTCTTCTGTGGGACCCCGTGTACCTGCCCAGGACCAGGGTGAGGGAAGCACGGGCTCACCGTCTCACACACAAGGATATTCCTACGAAGCTCCTTCACGTCCACTAACATTACCCACTGCCACCCACCACCATCGCCAGCAAACTCATGGCCCTCCAGATGAGTATGATGAACACCAGGACCCGTATCATACACACCAGGACAAGTATGATACACACCAAGACCCGTATGATACACACCAGGACAAGTATGATACACACCAAGACAAGTATGATACACACCAGGACAAGTATGATACACACCAGGACAAGTATGATACACACCAGGACAAGTATGATACACACCAGGACAAGTATGATACACATCAAGACAAGTATGATACACACCAGGACAAGTATGATACACACCAGGACAAGTATGATATACACCAGGACAAGTATGATACACACCAAGACCCGTATGATACACACCAGGACAAGTATGATACACACCAGACAAGTATGATCACCAAGACCCGTATGATACACACCAGGACAAGTATGATGATCATCAAGACCCATATACACCAGGACAAGTATGATGATCATCAAGACCGTATGATACACACCAGGACAAGTATGATACACACCATGACAAGTATGATACACACCAGGAGGTATGATACACACCGTATGATACACACCAGGACAAATATGATCATCAAGACCCGTATGATACACACGGACAAGTATGATCATCATCAAGACCCGTATGATACACACCAGGACAAGTATGATACACACCAGGACAAGTATCAAGACCCGTATGATATACACCACACACCAAGGATACACACCCAGGACAAGTATGATACACAGGACAAGTATGATACAGGACAAGTATGATACACACCAGGACAAGTATGATCCTCATCAAGACCGTATGATACACACAAGTATGATACACACCAGGACAAGTATGATACAGTATGATCATCAAGACCCATATGATACACCCGATCATCATCAAGACCCGTATGATACAAACCAGACACACACCACAAGTATGACACACCAGACAAGTATGATACACACCAGCAAGACGTATGTACACACCAGGACAAGTATGATACAAGGACAAGTATGATCATCAAGACCCATATGATACACACCAGGACAAGTATGATACACACCAGGACAAGTATGATGATCATCAAGACCCATATGATACACACCAGGACAAGTATGATACACACCAGGACAAGTATGATCCTCACCAGGACAAGTATGATCCTCACACAAGTATGATACACACCAGGACAAGTATGATCCTCACCAGGACAAATATGATCCTCACCAGGACAAGTATGATACACAGGACCATCAAGATATGATACACACCAGGACAAGTATGATCACCAGGACAAGTATGGACCCGTATGATACACACCAGGACAAGTATGATACACAGGACAAGTATGATCCTCACCAGGACAAGTGTGATACACACCAGGACAAGCACACCAGGACAAGTATGATCCTCCAAGTATGATACACACCAGGACAAGTATGATACACACCAGGACAAGTATGATCATCAAGACCCGTATGATACACACCAGGACAAGTATGATACACACCAGGACAAGTATGATACACCAGGACAAGTATGATACACACCAGGACAAGTATGATCTCATGATCCTCACCAGGACAAGATACACAGGACAAGTGACCAGGACAAGTATGATACACACCAGGACAATGATCATCAAGACCCATATGATACACACCACACAAGTATGATCATCAAGACCATGATACACACCAGGACAAGTATGATACACACCAGGACAAGGATACACACTATGATCCTCACCAGGACAAGTATGATCCTCACCAGGACAAGTATGATACAACACCAGGACAAGTATGATCCTCACCAGGACAAGTATGATACACACCAGGACAAGTATGATCCTCACCAGGACAAGTATGATGATCATCAAGACCCGTATGATACACACCAGGACAAGTATGATACACACCAGGACAAGTATGATACACACCAGGACAAGTATGATACACACCAGGACAAGTATGATACACACCAGGACAAGTATGATGATCATCAAGACCCGTATGATACACACCAGGACAAGTATGATACACACCAGGACAAGTATGATACACAAAGCCACAACGGAGGTATGGCGGTGTATGTGGCGACGGATGACAAGTATAATTCTTCGTACAGAGTTACACCCCCTTATACACCTTACTCAACTACACCCAAATATTATACTCCTTCGAATTACACTCATACACCCGAGTATGACACACACCCAACCTACACAACTCATTTCTATAATCGACGTAAGTATACCACTACACCTCAGTATGTTACTCATCCGTCTTATGCAAATTCTACGTTGCCCAAACATTACACCACTACACCTGGATACTACACCCGTCCACCCTACACCAGTACACCTAGATACTACACCCGTCCACCCTACACCACTACACCTAGTTACGGTACACCTCCACCCTACACCACTACACCTGGATACTACACCCGTCCACCCTACACCACTACACTAGTTGCAGTACACCTCCACCACACACCACTACACCTGGATACTACACCCGTCACCCTACACCACTACACTGGTGGTACACCTCCACCCCACACCTGGATACTACCCGTCACCCTACACCACTACCTAGTTGCCACCTCACCACCACCACTGGATACTACACCCGTCACCCACCTCCTGGTGCATTACCTCCCACCCTACACCAGTACCTAGATACACCATCACCACACCTGGTTGCATTTTTCACCTACACCACTACACCTGGATACACCCGTCCACCTACACCACTGGTTGCAGTACCCCACCCTACACCACTACACCTAGATACTACACCCGTCCACCCTACACCACTACACCTAGTTACGGTACACCCCCACCCTACACCACTACACCTAGTTACGGTACTCCTCCACCCTACACCACTACACCTAGTTACTATACCCGTCCACCCTACACCACTACACCTGAATACGGTACACATCCACCCTACACCACTTCACCTGGATACGGTACACCTCCACCCTACACCACTACACCTGGATACGGTACACCTGGAAGATACTATGGAGGAACAAGTGGCGCGTCAGATAGCAGCTCCATGAGTCAGCCACCAGTGCTCACGCCTTACGTTGTGCCAGACTTTATGGTCACGTCAGGCAGGAACAACTCTGGTGTGTGTGAGAAGAACATCGGCGATCCTGATGGAGACTGCGTGCCGGGGGAGGCCCTGAAGGACTACCCTTTGTATCACGTCGTCCCTAGCACCGCCTTCTCCTGCAACGACAGGTCCCCTGGTTTCTACGCTGACGAAGAAGCTCAGTGTCAAGTTAGTGTTAAATACAGCACTGTATATACGAGTGGGAGAGAGGGTCTTAATGGTACTTTAACTTTTCAGTTTCGAAACTTTTTAATCTTTAAAGGAGAGAGAGAGAGAGAGAGAGAGAGAGCCTCGGGGAACAGTCTAGGCTCTTACAGGAGTTCTAAGTTAGAACTCATTTAATTATTTTACCCATTTTTTTTTTCACTTCGGGATATATAAGGTGATTGTGTCAAAGTAGACTACACTGCTGTGAATCTTATAAGTGTACACATCTAAATCAGTCACATAACTAAATCAAGAACAAAATCAAAGTATAGAACCAACTTCCCTTCCCTCAGGTTTGGCACAACTGTACACCGGGAGGGCAGCAGGTGTCGTTCCTCTGTCCTGCTGGCACCATCTTCAACCAGCGACACTTCATCTGTGACTGGTGGTACAGCACTGATTGTACCAAGACCCAGGACTACTACCACCTTAACGAATTCTTCTACAAGACTTACACGCAGGTACACACTCGTCAGGATGACACAGCTAGTAATGGTCTCTATGTTGCTCCAGCTTAGTTTCCTTCACTGTTACACATTTTCCTCATATCACTCAAAAGTTTCCCCCGGTTTGTGGCAAACTTTCCACAGCGTACATATGTATGAACTTGTAGACCACGTGGGAAAAAAATGCAATATTGGTTCATATTCGTGATCTCTTCATACATACTGTACTGTATGTAGTACTAGAGTAGTTTCCAGTTGGAAGCGTCCTGGAGGACATGAATATAGTGAAGGCTTTATTCCTGTCCGTCATCACCTGATTGTGTTGGCCGCCATGACACCAATACTAGATCATCAAGGACAACAACTTGAATTTTCCCTCTAGAGATGTGAAAACGCAACGGCTCAAGGATGACTACAATATAGTAGAGATTATACCAAGACAACTGTAACTACAATAGGTTGGGTCTTTTTTTTTGTCTACTGCAGGAATACGATAGGTGAGGGATGACCACGGCACCCTGGGACATTCCAAAGTGATAATTGCTAACTCTCTCTTCTCTTTGGCTTTTCATATATTTTAATTTAAGCTACTGCCATACATTCTCAGCATCTTTAAGATTTACTGATGTAAGATGAACCGACTATTGTACAGATGAAAAGGTCACTGTCTGCAAGAATCAAAATTTCTTCATGGCCGTTTAGCACGTTTCTTATCTTCCGCTGTTTTACAAAAAGACTTCGTGCCCCTCACATACAATGCCAAAAGGAACAATTTAATTAGATGAACGACTGTTGCAGATGTTTGCGTCTGTCAGTTAGTTTACTCGGCAGCTGGACTATTCCACCCAGTATTCGCGAAGGCTTCATCCTGCTGGTGACTGATGTACCAAAAAAACTGTTATACTAAGGTCTTTCGGCAAAGTAAATACAGAACACAGAGTTATTTATCAGCCGAAGAGAAGAAACTTGTATTCATATCACATATGTTGTCATTAATTTACTTTGTATTTTGAACTGACATAAAGCAAAAGGCGGAGATTTAGCTAGTCACGTACTGTACGCTAAGTTTGTTATTTTGGTGTTAACTGTAATAAGGTTAAGTAGTTGTCTTGTACGGATAGTAATTACAAACACGAGTGGATGAGTTTGTTTGTCTATATTGTTTATATGTCAGTTATTATGTTGTTCGTCTTGTGTGGACACCTTTATTAGTATCCTCTGTATTATATATAATAAACTACATAAATATATATTATAGATAATGTTTTATCTCATATACTGTAATGTAATTACAAAAGCCTTCAATACAATCAATAATAATGACCTTATCATAATATATCTCTTTCAATAGATATTTGCACAGTGTGTTGTGACACGTGACCCCCACCAATACTGTACTATTATTACTCCAACAAGCAGGACCTCTACCTATCACAACTCGTTTACACCCCCGAACAGGCAGTAATATAGATATATAAGCAGAGATATATATGTATAGGTAGATGGGTAGACGGATACATATGTATTAATAGATAGTGGTGGGCTAATCCCCGTTAAAAAAAATCAGGGCAGATTAACTGTACTTGTGGCTGGGCTAATATGATATTCTGGCCGACATTTTCCAGTAATATATACAGTATGTATATTAACAGTACTGAGTATGTAACGTTACAGCGCATAGTAAATTTTATACTCTATATAAACAGTACATGAACCGGTACATTTATACAATTTACGTGTACTGTGCTGTGTTAATAGAGACCCAACATTATAGAACCTTATGTTTGCAGACGATGTCAAGTCATTCAGGGAAATTAAGAACCAAACGGACTGTGGAGAGCTACCGAAAGATCTCTCACTTTTAGGAGTGGTCAGAGGAATGACTGTTATGGTTCAATGTCACGAAATGCAAGATGTACGCGCTCAAGGACTGCTGACAGTCCCTGGCGCCCCCTCTAGGCGTGGGGCAATACCCAGGGTGACTGGTGACGCTTCCAGGAGCGGTTCACGGTCTCGAGCGCCTCCAGGGGCGGCAGGAGGTCTGGGGCGCCCCTCTCTAATCCTTTGCGTCACACCACCCATGCCTCAGTCACACCAGCAATGGCTCAGTGACACCTCCCATAGCTCGGTCACACCACCCATGCCTCAGTGACACCTCCCATAGCTCGGTCACACCACCCATGCCTCAGTGACACCTCCCATAGCTCGGTCACACCACCCATGCCTCAGTGACACCTCCCATAGCTCGGTCACACCACCCATGCCTCAGTCACACCACCAATGGCTCATTTTTCACCCCTCAAGTAGCCTGCCCATAGCTCGGTCACACCACCCGGCCTCAGTCACACCACCAATGGCTCCAGTCACACCACCCATGCCTCAGTGACACGCCCATAGCTCGGTCACACCACCCATGCCTCAGTGACACACTCCCATAGCTCACACAGTCACCACCTCACCACCACCCATGCCTCAGTGACACCTCCCATAGCTCAGTCACACCACCCATGCCTCAGTCACACCTGTGGCTCAGTCACACCACCCATGCCTCAGTGGCTTACCTCCCATAGCTCAGTCCACACCACCCATGCCTCAGTGACACCTCCCATAGCTCGGTCACACCACCCATGCCTCAGTCACACCACCAATGGCTCAGTCACACCACCCATGCCTCAGTGACACCTCCCATAGCTCGGTCACACCACCCATGCCTCAGTGACACCTCCCATAGCTCGGTCACACCACCCATGCCTCAGTCACACCACCAATGGCTCAGTCACACCACCCATGCCTCAGGCACATGACCGACCAGGTGTTATCCTAACGTGTACTGTACTGTACACTGCTTCACTAATATGTTTCTTCTTTATTTACGAGTCTGTCTCTTTCTGTCTACATTTGTGTTGTTTGACAGTATACAGAATACAGGATAGTATACAGTATACAGGTGTACAGTAGCTGTATCTTGTCTCATCTGTTATATACTATATGTTGTTTCTCGTCCTGTGTGTGTGCGTGAGTGGCGACCAAAATATTGTATTTAGTCTTCATTAATTTTACAAATTAAAGTCGTTATACTTTTAATTAACACAACCAGAAAGTTAAGGTGCAAGATGAGGCGTCAACGACAGGTGTTGTCACCAAAACGACCACACACGCGTCACCAAGACCACCTACACGCGTCATCAAGACGCACACACACGCGTCACCAGGACGACCACACACGCGTCACCACGACGACCTACACGCGTCACCAAGACGCACACACACGCGTCACCAGGACGACCACACACGCGTCACCACGACGACCACACACGCGTCTGGGACGACCACACACACGCGTCACCAGACACACACGCGTCACCAGGACGACCACACACGCGTCACCACGACGACCTACGCGTACCAGACACACACACACGCGTCACCAGGACGACCACACGCGTCACCACGACGACCTACACGCGTCACCAAGACGCACACACACGCGTCACCAGGACGACCACACGCATCACCACGACGACCACACACACACGCGCCACCAGGACGACCACACACGCGTCACCGACATTTCACGCGTCACCAAGACGCACACACACGCGTCACCAGGACGACCACACACGCGTCACCACGACGACCACACACGCGTCACAGGACGACCACACACGCGTCATCAAGACGCACACACCACACGCCACCAGGACGACCACACACGTCACCACGACGACCTACACGCGCGTCACCAAGACGCACACGCGTCTACCAGGACGGCCACACACACGCGTCACCACGACGACCACACACGCGTCACAAGGACGACCACGCACGCGTCATCGGAGCCCTTTTACACGCGTCACCAGGACGACCACACACGCGTCACCACGACGACCTACACGTCACCAAGACGCACACGCACCTCACCAGGACGACCACACACGCGTCATTAAGACGCACACACACGCGCCACCAGGACGACCACACACGCGTCACCAAGACGCACACACACGCGTCACCAAGACGCACACACACGCGTCACCAGGACGACCACACATGCATCACCAGGACGACCACACACTTGCCACTAGTACGGCCTCACACTCCTCACCAGTATGACCACACACTCGCCACCACTACGACCACACACTCGCCACCAGTACGACCCTACACATGGATCACCAGGACGACCACACACTAGTCCCTAAAGCGACTTGTACAAGCTGGCGTCCGGTTGAGCTCTACCCGGGTCTTGACAACGTGACATAAACTCAGTAAATGTTGGCGCCCAGTTGAGCCCCGGGGTGTAGGCTTCTAACCTACAACTGATTAACGTCAGAATGGTTCAACTCCATCTACTGGGCGGGTAGTGCAGTAAACGTGGCCGGGCTGCATCATACACTAGTTACACCAACTTTTATCATCTAATATGTAAGTTAATGAGTCAAGAAGACTTAATAAGGCTTGAGGTACACACACCACCACCTACTGTACTGTTGGTGTTTACAGAAAAAGTCGAAGACTATTATTATTAGCGTTTATACTCAGAAGTTGGTGGTATTACAGTATATCTAGTTTAATATTTAGATGGAAGGAATATGTCCCGTGGGACTTGTGTGCTGGGATAGTCTTAATTAAGTGGCAGTTTATGAAGTGTAATACTGTATCGCATGTTCGAACCTTTCGAACCCTCGCGCGTCCTAGTACAGCTAACATTAATAATGGGTGCCCCTCGAGATCGAGGATGGCCGACCCTATGACCACCGAGGCGTGAATATGTTTAAGGTGTAGAAGCTGTCGCCAACACAACAACCACACCCTAAGTTAATGAGCTGCATGACCCAGTGTCAAGGAATAGTCAGAGAAGACCGGACAACTCGCCAGCAGCACTGGCTAACCGTTACCCCGGAACACGATCCGCAAATCGATTAACATCCAGGTTCCCAATTACTGCTGGGTAGACAGAGGCAAATGGCGTAAAGAAACTTGGCCATAGTTTCACCCTGCCCGGGGATCGAACCTGTGACCACACAAACAAAATAATATACACAAAATTTTCCATAAAAATTTGCATCCAACTGTTGTGTTGCCAAGTGTATATTGTTAGTTAAGGTAGAGTGTCTTAGTTATCGTAGTTAAGGTAGTGTCTTACCGGTAGTTATCGTAGTTAAGGTAGAGTTTCTTGGTTATCGTAGTTAAGGTAGTGTCTTAGTTATCGTAGTTAAGGTAGAGTGTCTTAGTTATCGTAGTTAAGGTAGTCTTAGTTATCGTAGTTAAGGTAGTGTCTTAGTTATCGTAGTTAAGGTAGAGTGTCTTAGTTATCGTAGTTAAGGTAGAGTGTCTTAGTTATCGTAGTTAAGGTAGTGTCTTAGTTATCGTAGTTAGAGTTTCTTGGTTATCGTAGTTAAGGTAGTGTCTTAGTTATCGTAGTTAAGGTAGAGTGTCTTAGTTATCGTAGTTAAGGTAGAGTGTCTTAGTTATCGTAGTTAAGGTAGAGTGTCTTAGTTATCGTAGTTAAGGTAGTGTGTCTTAGTTATCGTAGTTAAGGTAGAGTGTCTTAGTTATCGTAGTTAAGGTAGAGTGTCTTAGTTATCGTAGTTAAGGTAGAGTGTCTTAGTTATCGTAGTTAAGGTAGAGTGTCTTAGTTATCGTAGTTAAGGTAGAGTGTCTTAGTTATCGTAGTTAAGGTAGAGTGTCTTAGTTATCGTAGTTAAGGTAGCGTGTCTTAGTTATCGTAGTTAAGGTAGCGTGTCTTAGTTATCGTAGTTAAGGTAGCGTGTCTTAGTTATCGTAGTTAAGGTAGAGTGTCTTAGTTATCGTAGTTAAGGTAGAGTGTCTTAGTTATCGTAGTTAAGGTAGAGTGTCTTAGTTATCGTAGTTAAGGTAGAGTGTCTTAGTTATCGTTAAGGTAGCGTGTCTTAGTTATCGTAGTTAAGGTAGAGTGTCTTAGTTATCGTAGTTAAGGTAGTGTGTCTCAGTAATCGTAGTTAAGGTAGAGTGTCTTAGTTATCGTAGTTAAGGTAGTGTGTCTCAGTAATCGTAGTTAAGGTAGTGTCTTAGTTATCGTTGTTAATGTAGTTATGGTTATCGTTATTAGTTATAGTCAAGACAGAGTTTCTTATTTATTGTTGGACGTTATTTTTGTGTTTTATCATAAGTCAAATAGTTAGGATTATTCTTATAAAGTTGACTTACGAGAAATAACCATAAGAAGAAGCTTTAATTCATCGTCGTAAACAGGTTAAATCATCGTCGTCG